CGCTGACCTCTGATAGGAATATGGAGAAGCGTTTGGAATAAAGAGGATCATACTGATCAGCGAGATGAAGGATGAAGGCAAAGTCATTCTTGACATCAGGGATGTCACTGTAGTTGCTTTTTTCTCTTAACGCCTCAAAGGAATATTGCTTCAGGGAACTCCTCAACATCCACCACAGGCTGTAAGAGGAGGTCAGACCATAAAGTATAACCAAAATAACATAAAATGAAGCCAGGACCTTAAAGATTTCTGCCAAGGAATAGACACACTGGTAGCGCTTATATCCTGTAAAAGCCTGCACGTCAACTGAACAGTCAATTTCAAGAGTGATGTAGGTTAAAAAATATGGAACATAAGTTATGATGAGCACAAACAAAATGACTTTGACTATTATCTGTTTCAGATATACTCTATAAATGATGTCCTTCTGCTCCACGTGCATGCGGAATCTTTTCACTTTTTCAAAGATGGCTTTGGCCTGTTCACCCTCCTTCTTGTCCAGGACACTGGAAGTTGGGCTTTCTATGCCAGCTGACTCCAAACCTGGCTGTGGGTAGGGCAATGACTGTTTGCTGGAATCTATGTCAGCTGAACACCCTGAGGACGAAAGCAAAATCTTGGACTTGGAGAGTTTCAGAGGCCTCACTGACTGCTCAGCCACTGTTTCTGACAGGGCACGGGTGGTCCATGGAGAATCGAAGCACTTGTGAAGGATGGCCACAAAATGCTCGAGCCTGGAACTGGTACTGGGGTAGTGAAGCCAAAAGTTGCTGCAGGCTGCAAAGATGAGCGTGTGCAAGAGCACCAGGTAAGGGAAAAACTTTGCAAACCAATGGAGCTGTTTCTCGTAACAGACGGCATCGATATAGGAGTACTGCTGTCGGTGGAGGTCATTCTGGATTCGGAGGGGGAGCGGAAGTGGTGTACCAGGATTAGAGGATGTGTTCATGCTGGCTTTCAGGATGTCCCAAGGCACAGCACAGTGATTGTCAAATTCCACTTTGCACGGAAGACAGCACAGAACCCTGCTCTGCGTCAGCTGGAGAGCTCCGGCCAGCACGGCCACCAGCAGCATGATCAGTGTGATGTAATACCAGAACACGTCCCACCATGGTTTTAAGATGTGATAAGAGGACTGGGCATCTGCTAAACATTTTAGCTCGGTTAGTGTAATCATGACTTTCCCTTGTAGGAGTACAGAAACTGGAAGAGGAAAATAAAAGAAATACTACTGAAGCAAGTACTCAAATAAGCATTTAACTCTAATACTAATACACACATACCCTCCTTCCAAGTCGGATTTAGCTCTGGGATAAAACCTAAAAGGGAGAGCTGATCAAGGGGTACCTAAGTCTTCTGGTTTCATTTGAAACCATAGGTCATGACAACTCTGAACCACAGTCTCTTAGATGGTGACTAGAAAGAAATTTAGGGGTAGCCTTTGAGGTAATTATCTTGTTACCTCTTGTATCTCAACTCCAGGCTAGGCTACTAAAAACCAGGAGCCAATTTTTCTTCAACTGACATTGAAAAAACTTGTTTTGATGCTACTAATTTCTCTCTCCCTCCTTCCTTCCTTCCCTCCCTCCTTCCCTTTTCTTCCTTCCTTCCTTCCTTTCCTTCCTTCCTTTCTCTCTCTCTCTCTCTTTCTTTTTCCTTCTTTCTTTCTGGGTCCCACAGGCCTCAGACTGTTGGCCTCAAGTGATCCTCCCCACTTGGCCTCTGAAAGTGCTAGAATTACAGCTGTGAGCCACCACACCTGGCCCCTGTTTTCTAATGGTCACATTATACCTTCCAGAATGTCTGAGTAAGCTCCCTTCCATTATCTCATCCCACGTCTGGAGCATCAGTTACAGCTCGAGAGTTGTTTTGATCACCACGAGGAGCCTCTTTTAAGCAAGCTTTACTTTATAAAATTACCCCTTAGGCTTAGAGGGATCTACGATTCTATGCCCAAAACAGCCTGTCACTGAATGCATTATCTCCTTTCTGCATGAGCATTTGCTTTATAATTTAAGTATATGAGTATTAAAAAAATTAGAGTATTTAGGAGTTGGGAAGCAACAGTTAGGGCTTAAAAAGGAATAAGGAAGAAAAGCTCTCCTAGAATACTGTATCAAGGGGACTCCTTCTCATGTTTAATGTTGTGATGACAAAGTAGTGAAAGGACAAACGATTAAGGCAGATTCTATTATTAAATTATTTTTGCCTTCAGGAAAACAAGATTATCTTGTATTTTCATACTGAAAAGTATTCAGACAACATTCCTGAGAATTCGTATGTTGAGCCTTAAACATACATCAACAAAAATTGCTTAGCAGTCAAATCCAGATCATCTATAAGATGGCACAGAGTAAGGTAAAAGAGTAAGGTAAAAAGGAAATATATGGGTCTTAGAAAATATCTGGTAAGAAAAAGAAGAAAAATAATAACAGCAGCATGGTCCCCCTTTGCTGGGTCCAGCTCTAACCTATGCACAAGGGCTTCTCCTGGATTTTCTTGAGTGTGAAGTCTTATGTATTCTGGGCCTGCTGAGTTTCTTTCTAGACACCCTAGTATTGGTAGCATTCCCAAGGAAGACCTTTTTACTCTCATTTGCTGTCTTTCTGGGGTCTGGTATCCTGCGTTGAACCTTAGAGTAGCATTACAAAGTCCCTGCTCCCTGTTAATAAGTCTCATCCTCAGCATATTCCTGACCATCTGACCCTGAACCCTACAGCTTCATGCTCTTATACCTATTAGGGCATTCCACAATTTCTATGCTTAATTGCTAGACTGGAGCACTATTTTCTCCTTGTGTCCTTTCTGGGCATCACATTATATAAATTCAACTTCTTCCTAGGACCTGCAGGTGGATTATATACCCCTCCAGGGCTTCTCGCCTTCACTCTAGTTTAGTGGGTCTATTTCTTATTCTCAATCCTTCTCATTCTGCTTCATCTCTCTGCCTTACATACTTGTGTGTCAAGGTAACACAGAAACCAAAATGAGAGGATTACATGAGACAAATAGAAAGTCCTGGGCTTAGACCTCAAAATACTATAAATATGATATGGCCAAGTGTGAGGGATGGTAGAAAACACTGCTGGATGAAAGCAAGAACATGTGAAAAATACTTTAGGATTTTAGTTGATATGTATGCATACTTTCAGCTAATCATGTGGTAGCTGTTGTGCTGAAATATTTATTATAACCTCTGGCCATATTAATAGGTGAACCCAGATAAAGGAGGAGAAGTCCTTCTGTGCCTGCCTGGTGAGATTACAATACTGAAACCCAATACTCAGTTATAGGTTAAAGATAAAATGGGCAAAACAGCAACCAGACGCTGTTGTTTACAAACCATTTCCTACAGAGGAACACAGGCACCTGATGGTATTCAGCTGAGATGATAGATGACTAGGTAAGCCCAAGAATTTATCTTTACATTTTTGTGCGACAACCTCACAGGTGAAAGAACAGTAGATTTGCTCCCCAGGTAGAACCAGGTAGGTGGAAGCTTTAGAATATCACATTTTGATTCAATCTGTGGTAGAAAGTTATCGAACTGGCTGCTCTGTGAAACAGTTCAGCTCCGTGTCCTAAGCAGAATCTTGATAAATAAAATGACCAGCCATCAGGGAAGTTGCAAAGGAATTGCTTGTAATGGATAAAAAGAGTGAAGCAGATAATCTCAACGGGTTCTTTCAGCTTTAAGTTCATGTTTTATTTGTCCCTTCGAAGGTCCTGAAAATTAAATTCACTTAAGACATGCAACTGAAATTGTGGAAGAATAAAAACAACAATAGCTCTAACAATGAAAATGGTATTTGACAGAGTGAATACTTACTCAACAAGACTACAAGTCAACATTGACCAAAATAATGTGTTTTAAATATTTATACTTACTATAATGAAAAAAATTAAGTAAATCCGATATGCTTCAGTCAGGAGGTCTACACCTTTTGAAGTTTCTTAGACACACCATCTCTGTGTTTGTCTTCATTCTATGAGAAAACATAAATATCTTGAAATAGCTGTAGTCATTTAAACAAATAAACTGGTGATACTGTCTCCAGAAACCCTCTCTGTCATAAGACATGATATGGCAAATAGATTTTCAAACCCCTGGCCTCAAACAATCCTTGCATCTTGGCTTCTCTAATGCTGGAAACACAGGTGTGAGCCACTGTGCCTGGCTTAGATTTTCACAAATCAGTTTACTTTTCACACGGGGGCACACGCTGGCAAAGCTGTATTACAGGGCCCCACCCACGTTCATTAAACCATATTCACTCCCTGAACTTCCTTTCAACTACAGGGAAGTTCCTACAGAAATTTAAACATAACGTATTTTAAAATTCTATATCTACAACACTTAGATGAACACTTCTTAGCTTTTCTAAGTAGTCGACATATGTTAATTTCTCTCACTCATTCCTCATACACAGTTGTTCTTATTTGCATTTTTCAGATGGGTTGTCACACCATGTGATTTCTGTACCCATATTTAAAACCAAACATCTATCCAAACAAGTCTCAGTGCTCCTAAAATTCAGCCTACCAATCTCATTAGAAAAAGTGACAAGTTAATACACTTTTTCAGATACAGCTCAGAAATATGGCTGAAATTACTTGAAATTATGTAATTATTAAACATAGCTAAGTTTCATATTAGATTTAATTTAGAGGTTAATAAAAGCCATTTATAACATTTATACTTCAAAAATTTGTGATAGTTAAATTACATATATATTGATAATTCAAACTGTAAGAAAATTTGTAAAATGCTAGAATTTGTTTTTAATTGAGTGTAAAAATTGTATCTTTTAGTGCCTATGAAACCTTAAAAAAAAAGTTTCTAGGGAGGTTTTACATTTTCCCTGAAGATATGATCCTTTTTAAAAAGTAATTCAAATCTTGCTAAGAGTACTGACCCCAAGTTGTATTTAAGATATTTTTAGCAATAACCTTGTAAACTTGTCATTTCAAATATCAGCAAGTTGGGCATAAATTTATTTTGGGTTTACCAAGTCATGTGTAAAGCCCATTTTACAAGTAATCACCATCCAGCATCAAATTGTTTTGCAGGTTAGAAAGCACAGTTAGTGTGTATAACAACCTAGCTGTACACTAATTCATAATTACATCTCACCAGTGGAGTATAAATTTCTCATTCGCAATTCACAAGCCTTTATAAAAGTCTTACAACGTATAATACACAACTGCATTTATGTGCACTGACCATGATAAAGACACCTTATGTGTGAAATATTTTACATATTCTTCTAAAGTGGCTGCATTTGTAATGTGCCAGAAAAGAATTTATTGCGTAATTCAAAAATTCTACTTAGCCATGATGGTTCTTCTTATATAGTTCTCCTTAAATATTAGAAATACGCTTTCTATTTTATTATTAATAATTTAATATCTGTTTTTCTACCTTCAAAGCATGTTTCATTTACATTAATTTGTTTTATTTTTACAACAAGCCATTGATATAAATAGTACTACTCTTTATGTTTATATGCATAGAAATTAAGGCAGGCCCAAAGAATTTGCCTTGCCAAAGGTGACAAAACCAGCAAGAAATAAAGTTGCAACTGGAACCTAAGTCCTCAGACTCAAATCCCAACCTCATGTACACCAGACCACATGGCCTGAGTCAATTCAATTAACTATGCCACAGTCTTAGATCTCTCAAAAGCTGAAGAAAAAGCTATTTAGCGCTCTTTCCCAACTCACCCCAATATCTGCATTACAACTGAGTTCTATTATAATCTTTTGAATAAGGATGCAAAGATAGTTTCCTGTAATGTCTTCCATTACATATAATCTACTTTCTCAGCTAAACATTTTCCTACTAAATATTTTCTACTGAACTAAAACTTAATATTTAAATATATAGCACCTGGATTTAAGTATACATAAAATGTCTCAGCATTCCTACATATAAAATGATGCTAATTTTCCTATATGAAGTACTTAACTAGAGAGTTTGAGCATAGCTATCCTTTGTCATTATGCCATTTAATACTGTCTTGTGTCCAGGAAATTGTTTCCAGACCATATTTTAGTAAACAATGGTGATTCAATCGACATAAGATCTCTATTTCTAATATACAAACACTAAATCAATCCAAAGAAATGTTAAGAGTAATGGATTTTTCGGTTCTAATCCCATTCTTACAGCTTTTAAACCTCATTAAGAAGTCATAAAAGCTTTTTCAAAACACATGAATTCACTTGACAATTTCACTCCAAAGTCTCTAAGACTGTAACATCAACATTCAAGTTAGGCATCTTTACTTTGCAGTAGTCCTTATGTTACTTTGAAAACATTTCCAAAATAACAAGTGAAAAAATAAACGAATGATGATCAGATGGTATTTAGAGTCATTATATACTGAGAAGTGGATGCTACATCAAACATCTGTCTCTGACCCCAGGCAGGGATTATTGTGGAGCAATTCCAAACAGTGGTTCTCTACACTACTCTCACTGAAAATTGATTTAAAAATCACGTTATAGCCCTTCAAAACGTTTAGCGCTACTTCCCATCAAGATGTTTCTTGGGACTAACATATATCTAACTGAAATTTAAATTTACCTTTTGTTGAGTTCTCTCTCTAGGAAACAATGCAACAGTATCTCTGATTAATTTGCTCCATTTGTTTATACTAAGTAACTCATTCAGCAACTCTTGAGAGATTTAATGACAAGCATTAAACATTTTTCAAGTACTTAAATGATCACCAGCAATAACACCTGATATACCAGTTTCCTTATGTCCCTTTCCAGTTCTTTCAGATCTTGTCAATACAGTGATTTTCAAGTAACAAACACACTTCCCAAACTCAGTTGTAGTTTTAAGACCTAGAAAGAAAGTAAGATTTTTCTCTAGTGGTTCTCTAGTATTAATGTATATAAAAATCACCAAGAGCTTATTAAAACATGAAGTGATGAGTCCATCCCTCAGAGCTGCTGATTCATAAGGTAGGCAGGTCTCAAGGACTGTGTAGCTAACAAGTTCCGAGTTCATGTTGATGCTGTGGGTCCAAGGACCACTTTTCAAGAATCACAAATGTGAGACAATGATTCTCAATCTCAGCTTCACCTTAGAACCTCTTGGGGCACTTTTAAAAGAAACCTAAACCCAAGCCCTACTCCCACAGAGCAAGTCAATTGTTAGAGGAGTCCAGAAATCTTTTATTCCCCCCAAATCTCCCCAGGAGGAGGAAGCTTACAGGATAGACTGGCAATAAAGTGTCTGAGAAAAGTGCCTATCTTTTAAGTCTTCTTGAACGTTGCACTAGACATCTAGGATGCTCTCTCCCCTCTGCAGACTACAAAGTAACAGCTACCATCTCCACATGAAAGCTTTAGAGACTCAGGAACGTGAGGCAGTAGAACAGTGAGTCACTGAGCTATGGAGACATGCAGGATGGATTGCAGGAGGAGAGATCAGAAACAAAGGGAACAAGCTGAAAGGCTAGTTCAATCATGTAGGTGAGAAATAATAAGGGCAAATTTTACAATGTGTTTTAAAAGAAAGCAAAGAATACAATAGTCAAAGGATTAAAATTCATTACCACCTAGCAACATCAGATAAAGAGGTCCACAGAGAGGTAGGATTCCAATGGATTCAGATTTTGACCCTATAATATTATAGTGTCTTACACAGTTTCTAGCACATGGTGCACAATATAGATTTATATAATAATTAAATGTACAAAAATGAAAAAGGCAGCAAAAAAAAAAATCCCCCAACCATTCAAACTTTTAGGGTGTATTCAGGGTGATAAACGCCTATCCTAGGGAGAGGCAAGAACTCAGCAACAATAGAGATGGAAGGGTTTTTGCTAACTGTTCTGCATATTCCAAGCCTTAATGGCTTAAGAAAAGGTTTTCTTTCTTGAGATTCTGTGGGAGGTTCTTTTACTTCATAGTGTTGGCTGGCACACCTTCCAGATGGTTGGAAGGTACAAAATGTCCTCATTCCTTAGGCTGGTAGTTGGTGCTAACTGCTGGCTGATAATTCCTTCATGTGAGACTCCATGTGGCTCTTTAAGTGTCCTCACACAGCATAGTGGGTGGGTTCTAAGATGATACACACCAAACACAAAAGTAAAAGCTGCAGCTCTTCTAAGGCATAGACTTGAAGCTACACAGTGACACATCCACCAAAATCTATTGGCCAAAGGAGTCAAAGGCTAGTCTAGATTCAAGGGGAAGGGAAGTGGACTCCACCTTTCAATGGGAGGAGTGGCAAAGAGTCTGCAGCCATGCTTAATCCACCAGAGTCTACTCTCTAGCCACAAATGATTTACATTCCTCTTATACGCAAAGCACATTAACCCTCTCCAAAATATTTCATCCCACTGTGGCATCAAATTCAGGCTTGAAGTCCAGGATCTTGTCATCTAAATCAGTTTCAGGATGCTGTGGGACAAGGCCCTTGAAATTATTAGAAATCCTGCTATCTAGCTGAGAGGTTCTATGAGGCACTGCCTTAAATCTTTTTGAAGTTTTAATAAAGGGTCTTACAGCTATGCCTTTGCTTTTATTTTCACCTTGAGAGCAAGTTTTAGTGGGAGTAATGTTCTGGATCTGATCTTTGGACCTGAGGCCATTTCTTTCTTTGAGTACTTTTGCTGGGTAGAGGAGCTGGGGATGAGAATCAGATTTACCATCTGAGAAAATTCAGGATTGGAAGTATTTCCTCTAAAGTCTACTTAAACTCAAAATAGCTTCTTTAATTGGTCTCTTTCTTGAAATACTTTGATCATAGTATCAAAAAAAAAAAAAAGAGTTTAAAAAAAAGTTAAAGGAATCACTTGGAGCTTCTGATATTTTGCTGGAAAATCTCCTAAGCTGAAACCACAAGTTCATTAGGTTCATTTTCTATGTTCCATGTTACTGTAGGTGATGGTCTTGCTGACTTTTTTCTCAATATAAAAAAAGGGTACCATTTTACATGCTCCAATAGCAATAGTATTCTAACTGCCCTTTCATGCTTTCACTGACACCTGGTCTCAAAGCCAAAATGCCAGATTTTTTGTTATGGCAGCATCTCACTTCTAGGTAAAAATTTTTGTTTTGGTTCTTTATTCTGTGTAACAAGTCACATCAAAACTTAGTGGCTAAAGTAACAATTCATAATTTCTCATGATTCTATGGGATGATATGGCAGTTCACATGGTATCAGTTGGAATGCTGGAATACTTAGAAGGTCCAAAGTGCCTCAATCACAACACTCATGCTTCTACTGGTTGCTGGCTGTGAGCCCAGCTTGGGCTGTCGACCAGGAGCCTTGCCAGACCTCTATATGGCTAATCTGGCTTTCTCACAGCGAAGAGACTAAGATCTTAGAAGGAATGTTTCAAGCACACAAAAGCAGAAGCTACAAGTCTCTTAAGGCCCAGCCTTGGAAATTACTCCCTACCATTTCTGCCACATTCTATTGATTAAAGAACCTACCACAGGCAACCAGATGCAAAGGGTGGGGAAATCAACTCCACCTCTTGATGGGCAGAGTTGCTAAGCCTTAGCAGCCATCTTTAGCTCACTGTAGGAAGAAGTCATGAAGATTTAAGTGGTGGTCAGTGCCACAGAAATGAATTATTTGAGAGAAAGAATTTAGTGAGTGAAGGAGAGAATTACTCTCCCCTCTGTAAAATAGATAAGCAAGAGTGAAAATGGATAGGGAAGCAGGTCAGTGAGGTAAAGGAGAAGCAAAGTATTTCTAGAACACAGAAATCAGAATTCAAGGAAAGAAGCTGACATCATCGTAAAATAATACAGAGAAACCAAAGGAGAAGAGAGATGCATTACTGCCATTCCAGAGCTTCTGACCCAAAGCTGTAGTGAGATAATGGGTCTGGGAAACAATTACAAATACTCTAAACATTAAGAGAATTACCTTAATCATCTGAAGCCCTTGAAGAAAGTTATTGAATAAATGAAATAAAGAATTATAAATGGCAGTAATAGATTAAATTAAAAAGTGACTGAGTTAAAACCATGGGAAAAATTATAGAAATTCTAATGAAATCTGAGTTGTTCTAAACTTTAAGGAATAATGCTTCACTTTTACCTATTTCTGGGAGTTACAGAATATATCATATATTTAATGTAGATATTTTTCTTTTTAGGAAAAGATCTCTCAATTTTTTGATGTTTTTAGTAAGCTACCATATTTTCTAAAATCTATTTAAAATAAAAGAAGTTACAGCCATATTCTTGTAATATTAATACAAGCATAAGCCACCAGTGGCTGGATAATTGTTAGAGAAGGTATAAACAGAAGGCAAGTTCAAATCCTTCTCCACCACCTTTTGTTGTTTATAAGAATATTTTCCTGACCACCCCCCACCCCACAGTAAGCAAGCCATAACATATAGAACAAAACTAGTCCCTATGCAGTCTCTTGTGAATCACACTTGGTCCTTTCAAATGATAGGAAGACAGCAGACACCAGGCAGAGGAAAGAATCTCAATTGGAAGATGGCCTTTCTGAATGAACAAAGCCTCCAAGAAATATGGGATTATATAAAAGACTCAATTTATGGCTGATTGGTTTACCTGAAAGAGATGGGGGGAAATGGTACCAACCTGGAAAACATTTCAGGGTATCATCCATGAAAACTTCCCTAAGGTAGCTACAGAGGTCAACATTCAAATTCAGGAAGTGCAGGGATCCCCAGTAAGATACTTCACAAGAAGATCATCCCCAAGACACATAATCAACGGATTCTCTAAGGTTAAAATGAAAGACTTCAAACTATACTACTGGGCTACAGTAACCAAAAATAGCATGGTACTGGTACAAAACGGACACAAAGACCAATGGCACAGAACAGAGAGCCCAGAAATAAGACCACATACCTACAACCACCTGATCTTCCACAAGACAAAAATAAGCAATGGGGAAAGGATTCCCTAATTTGATCAATGGTGCTGGGATAACTGGCTAGCCATATACAGAAGATTAAAACATCTTCATTACACCATATACATAAAAGGACCCCTTCCTTACACCATATACAAAAACTTAATTGAAGATGGATAAAGACTTAAACATAAAACCCCAAATTATAAAAGCCCTGCGAAGACAACCTAGGCAATACCACTCAGGACAATAAGCAGGGGCAAACATTTTATAATAAAGATGCCAAAAGCAATAGAAACAAAAGCAAAATAGACAAGTGGATCTAATTAAAGAGCTTCTGCACATCAAAAGAAGCTATCAACAAAGTAAACAGCTACAGAATGGGAAAAAAAATTTGCAAATTACGCATCCAACAAAGGTCTAATAAGGAACTTAAACAAATTTACAATAAAAAAGAACCCCATAAAAAAGTGGGCAAAGGACATGAACAGACATTACTCAAAAGAAGACACACACGCTGCCAAGAAGCATATGAAAAAATGATCAGCATCACTGATCATTAGAGAAATGCAAATCAAAACCACAAGGAGACAGCATCTCACATTAGCCAGAAAGGCTATTACTAAAAAGTCAAAAAACAGATGCTGGCGAGGTTGTGGAGAAAAATGAATGCTTTACACTGTTGGTGAGAGTGTAAATTAGTTCAACCATTGTAGAAGACAATGTGGCAATTCCTCAAAGACCTGAAGACAGAAATACCATTCAACCCAGCCATCCCATTACTCTGCACATACCCAAAGGAATATAAATCATTCTATTATAAAGACACATGCATGTGTATATTCACTGCAGCACTATTCACGATACCAAAGACATGGAATCAACCTAAATGTCCATCAATGATAGACTGGATAAAGAAAATGTGGTACATATACACCATGGAATACTATGCAATTATAAAAAAAGAACAATGATATCCTTTGAAGGGACATGGATGGAGCTGAAGGCCATTATCCTTAGCAAACTAACTCAAGAACAGAAAACCAAATGTTCTGTAAGCTACATGTTCTTTTGTATAAGTAGGAGCTAAAAGATGAGAACACATGGACATATAGAGGGGAACAACACATATTGGGGCCTATCAAAGGGTGGAGAGTGGGAGAAGAAAAAGGACCAGGGAAAATAACAGGTACTCAGCTTAATACCTGGGTGATAAAATAATATGTACCACAAACGCCCATGACACAAGTTTACCTATGTAACAAACTTGCACATGTGCCCTTGAACTTCATATAAAAGTTAAAAAAAAAAAAAAAAAGAAAATAATAGAAAATGTGTTACATATACACCATGGAATACTACATAGCTATAAAAAAGAATAAAATCATGTCCTTTGCAGCAACATGGATGAAGCTGGAGGCCATTATCCTATGTGAACTAACGCAGAAAGAAGAAACTAAATACATTTTTTCACTTATAAGTGAGAGCTAGGCATTGGATACGCAAAGATATAAAGATGGGAACAACAGACACTGGGGACTCCAAAAGGAGAAAGGAAGGGAGGGAGGCAAGGGCTGAAAGTTTTCCTGTTGAATACTATGCTCACTGCCTGGGTGATGGGATCATTCTTACTCCCAACCTCAGTGTCATGCAATAATATACCCTTTTAACAAACGTGATCATGTATCCCCGAATCTAAAATAAAAGTCGAAATTATAAAATTTAAAAAGTTTATAGCTAACTCAATGAGTCAGAATGGAAACATGAATATACCTAAGATGTCAAAGGATCTTCACCTTCATCTGTAAAAAAGAAGGGTGTTTAGAGTGTAGTAGGTGACAGATCCTCTGTCCTCACCACTGATTCACCTAGACTGTATGTGCAGAGCTGGGTGACACTTTCAAGCTGTATTCAGAACATTAGAGAGTTGTGCTATTTTTTTTTTTTTTTTTTGAGACGGAGTTTCACTCTTGTTACCCAGGCTGGAGTGCAATGGCGCGATCTCGGCTCACCACAACCTCCGCCTCCTGGGTTCAGGCAATTCTCCTGCCCCAGCCTCCTGAGTAGCTGGGATTACAGGCACGCACCACCATGCCCAGCTAATTTTTTGTAGTTTTAGTAGAGACGGGGTTTCACCATGTTGACCAGGACGGTCTCGATCTCTTGACCTCGGGATCCACCCGCCTCGGCCTCCCAAAGTGCTGGGATTACAGGCTTGAGCCACCGCGCCCGGCTGAGAGTTGTGCTATTAAATACAGTGTATAAATTCTTCATTCATGTGTCAAAGCTAAAAGCAATGCTATAAGCTAACTTAAGATTAATCTACAATTACAAAAGAAGAATGATGTTTGCAGGAAGCAGCAGAGTATAGGGCTTGTTTAATTCTGACGTACTTACTCAAAGAAAGTATGGCCATCTTTTACTTAACAGAAATAGGGCAAACCAAATCTATGTGTTAAAAATCCTACCTTAAACAAAAATCAGGAAAATACAGACATGGACTCTAGGTCTACCATGGACATTTATTATATTCCTTAGATTTTACTGTTAAAAAAAATGACAAATATCATACACACATATACTTTCCTGTAAACAAAATCCACAATAGGTAGGAAGGGGGCATTTTACCAAAAGGTATACAGATCTAATTTTCTGTTTATTAAGTGGTATAAAAACCTCAGAAAGATTTTACTGAAAACATCTGTAAGAGCAGTAATTTCTTTTACATACTAAGTATTCAGTATTTACTTGCCCCAAGCTACCAACTTAATTGTAATTATCTTTACCATGTGTTTACAATTCAGGATGTTACTTACCCTATGAATGCTGGTCAACTGGGACCTCTGCAATTATTCTCAATTTGAAAAATTCCTAAGGAGAAATCACAAGCATATTGTTATATTTTATGCATCACAAGATTGCAAGATAATTTATCCACTGATATGGTTCTAAAATTTTCAACTTATATAATACTTTTATGAAATACACAAAAGATAACTTATTTAAAAAGAAAGCATTAAAGATACCACCTTCTGACTTCTCACAGAACTGGTTAACTATTACCCCGAGAGAGAAACAAATCACTTTCACAAACTACATATTTTACTTCATCACAACTGTAGCTTATACGGCACAAAATATAAACATTGAATTTTTGATGGAGAATAAGATAGCATTATATATGAGTACCACTGATATAAGATTAAATATAAGAGAGAAAAACAAATTGAAAGTATGCTTCTTAAACAGGGGAAACATAGTGAAAGTCTTAACATTTGGGATACTTTTCTTTGTCCAGTTTTAATTTTTGCTGACCTACCAGTTTTATACAATTATGCCACTGTAAAATTCAATGGCACAATATTGAGATCTGTTTTTGCCTCTTATATATCACAGGCTTTTTTGATATTGTTATGAAGTTTCTTTAAGTATCATTTCTGATGGAATCATATAGTTCACACATGGGTATGTCCTAGTTTACAAAATCATTCCCCTACTAAATTTTCAATTTTCCATTTTTATTACTAATAATATTATAAACATCTCTGTACTCTTCATATGATTTTTTTTTTTTTTGCATGTACTTTCAAAATGAAGGAATTAGGTCAAAACAGCATAAACACTTTAAGGCCTCTGATACACAGCATCAAATTATTTCTCAGAAAGGTTATACCAATTTTCTTTCCTGTCAACAATATATAAGTAACACCTTACCAGATTTAGAAATCATCATAAAAAATATTTACTAATTTCATACGTGAATCTTAGTGTTGCTTTATTTGGCATTTCTTTGAGTTGGATTGAACATTTGTCAGCATACTTACTAATGCATATCATTCCTCTCTCCTATTTAACATTTACCTAAACCAGACGAATATTTTGCTGAGAAGATATAAATGTAGAACTCAATGACAGCTCTCTCATAATGACAATTTGTCATCTCAGGGTGAAGCCACTGCTGTCAAATAAAATAAATAACAAAATGTAGCCGAGTTTCTTTATTCAGGATAAAGCCAAATCATTCAAACTAATTTTAGAAGCTATAACTAAAGTTAGCACCTTTCTTCCTCCTCAGCAGAACACAAAAGTACCAAGTTGGAAGAATGAAATGTGAAATACTAAATGACAGTGCTTCTTAGAATAGCATAAATAGTCCATATTAGGCAGGATAAAAAGAGGACAAAGACTGTTACAGCAATTCCGACCAACCCAGCTGCTGAGGCAGACGGCCTGCGTCAGTGTGTCCGCCAGCTTGCTATGCTAATGAGTGTTACACAACTAGCTGATCGGCCCCCTCAAAAACATTCTCTCTCCAGAGAAAGGACACAAGACCTGAGTATTTTAACTTAAAAAGTCAATTCCAAGATAACCTAAAAATAAAAGGGTATTCTGGAAGATTTGGAGGTAAGTATAACAGTGTGAATTCTCTCAAATAAGAACTTCCTCCTGAAAAGAAGGCTTCCAATGAAGGACATAGAAGGAATGGCTCCCAAGTGACTGAGGATTAAGGAACCAAACAGCAGCAATCAGCTTTCTGATAGAAAAACAAAAGGCCCCAGAGGATCTTACTCTTGACGTTCTTGTCTCCTGGTCAGGAGAGATGACGGATTTGATAAAACAAACTTTTTTTTTTTGGTAGTGCAGCAAAGAACTACTATACAATTTTGGAATTTGAGCATGATTTTCCAGTTGGGCATATTTAGCTTGTAGGGATAGTTAAATCTTAGGAAAGATCTAGCAAGATGTCAAGAATCTCTGGTCAAAGGACCTGCATTGGGTTAAAGGTGTAGTCTCACTGGGATGTCGTTTGGCAGATATGGCAGGAATCACTGCAGTATCATGCTCATTCACCCTGACTTGGGCAATTGTTTAAGTTTAAGGCTTGAGCCTATATAAAATTAAAGCCTCCCATTTCATCAGTTTGAAAAGTTCAAAATCATAAATGACAGATTTAAAAGAAGAACATGCCACTGCATCATCTGTCCCATTCTGGATCAAGTGGAATCACTTCTATGAGCCATCCAGACCAGCACAGGCTGAATTTGCTGCTCCTTCATCTGTGTTCCAGGAAGACATTTACTAATATTTCTTTTACATTGTTTATTAATATATGTGAAGCTATTGCCTCCAATTCTTTGAGGGCCGGGGCAGTATCTCACTTATTGGTATCCCAGGGATCTATCCCAATGTCTCTTTCATGGGCTACATTAAGGTCCTAGATATTATAGCATGTATGGATTCATCAATGGGATATTTAAAGATCTCTGGAATCTCTGGAAACTTAAGTAGATTAAACAAAAATAGTACCTACTGAACCTTTCTCAAGGACGGTATTCAACGTGGTTGGAAGAAAATATCACAAGTCTATTTCCTTCGGGTCAGAAACTAGCAAAAGGAGGACCCAGAGGGCTCTTTTGCTATTCTTTTTCCATATAGTGCTTTGCTACTCCACTTAAAAACATTGTGAATAAATAATTAATGGATAACAGTGTGAAGTGGCATCAAATCCTTAGCCTGAGCCCACTCCTCTTGGGTCAGTCTTGTCTCTCTCTGCACCAAGAATATTTAGCAAATCACTGTTGAATAAATGAAGCAGATCAGGTTTCACCACCCATTTAGGAACCAAGGGTACAAAGAAGGCCTAGCTCTCAAAAAGATCTATGAACACCACTGGTGCACACACACAGTGGGTGTGGAAGGGTGGTAAAGCAAATGACAGGGACAGAGCCTCAGGCATTTCCATGGCAGGGGCAGAAATTCAGAAGCAGAGGCCAAGTCTTCATCCCTCAGGGAGAAAGGAGAAAAATTCATATTTGCCAACTTACTCAACAAATGGGACATTTCACAAATCTGAATGGAGAACTGCTGTCAAATTCAGCATGAGTGGCTGCATTATAATGACTGAGAGTCATTCCGAATCAGTGCTGGATCACTGGATAAATGCCACAGCATTCCAAAATGGCCTTAATATCTTATCAAATTATGATTTCACAATTATTCCCTTTTTCACAAGTTAACTTTAGTATAACGCAACAAGAACAACACTGGGACCAATGGAATTATCAAGGTATCACCCAAACAAGGATGCTGCACATCACATCATTCTGTGCCCACTTGTCCTGAACTCTGGCAAGGACCTTTCTAGTCTCCTGAGAGCCTACCACATATTAGGTGTTTCATAAATGTCATAATTCCACAAATGTTGTGAGCTATGATTGAGCTGACAATATTGCATGTCCTTAGATAGCTTTAGTCTCATAAAACCAATAACTTCTGATAATGATCACTGTACATCTGCTATAACATACTATTAACTCAAAGACAAAATCAAATTGTCATGCATTGCAAATCAGCCTAGTGCTCGAGCTAATTTCTGACCACAAAATACGAAGGTTTAATGTTCAGTGTTAAGTGATTACTAAACACAAAAGATGTTTAAAACAAACACTGCTACCCTGCTTGTGGCGCTAAACAAGCAGTTAGTCCTTCATGCTTCTAAGCATTTAGGGAATACTGATGGTTCTATTATGTTTCCATTAAACTGTATCATAAATATCTGGTTGGATGCCTTACTGCCTCAGCCTTTGAGCTCTTCGAAGAGTGGTGTGCAGGACAGAACCTGGCACTAACAGTGTCAGTAATGATCTGTTGAATGGAAAGGGGTAGTAGAGATAGGGGAAGGCTAACATTTACTATGTACTTGGTGAAGTAGGTATTATTAGCCAACTCTAAAGGTAAAAAAGTTGAGGTTCAGAAAAACAAACTTGCTCAAGCTCATAAGCAGACCCAGCATTCACAACAGAGCTAAGAGCCATCTGCTACACAGCCTCTCCAAGGAGCTATATAGAAAGGAGTTTTATATAGAATGTGACAGCTCTCTCCTTTTCTCAAAGCTACAATCTATCTTTTAGAAAAACTAAAAGAGACAATTTAAAAATGAGATCTATTTTGTTTTCCTAGCTCATTGCTCAGTATTCCATCTAGTGAAACAGAATCAACAAGGCTTCCTCCATCCTGCCTGCCTATTAAATAAAGTTGACATGATAGATAGCCAGAGCAAGGGTACATCCTGCTTGCACAGGCACTTATGAAGAAACATTTACCAACAATTTAATAACGAGATGAATAACCTAAGTTCAATCTGCATTTAAATGATAATGTTTTACATGGCTTTTCTTCCAGACATACCTATTAAAACGTGGTTAAAATAAATCAGAACCACATTGCCCATATATGACCTTCTTTTTGAATGACTTAAAAAAGGAGTATTACATGTTTTCAATGTGTTACTTTGTTAGGCCTAATTGTCACCCTAAAACTGATGAAAATGTGAGAGACTTGGAAGGAAAGGTAGCAGAATGGTTAAGACTGAGTTGTAACTTTGTCATTTACCATCTGCTTGATCTAAGATAAGCTAAGCACCACTTTTCTCATCTGTAAAATAGGGATAATAACCTTAAGAATGGTTTCTACCTAATGGAGTTAAGAATTAAATGAAGGAACTACAAATCAAATGCTTAGCACAGCAGCAGGTACAAAGTAAGCACTAAACATGGTAATTTATTAACAGAGTAGTAGCTTTATCTAAAATCAGTCCTTTAAAGGTTGCCTTTAAAGTATGAGCCTATAAACAAATACCAGATTTGATATTAGAAGGTTTGGTTTTAAACCAAAGTTTGTGACTTCCATGCCAGTTCTCACCATGTATCACATGACTTGTTACTAGAAAGTGTAGTGAAATAGAAATGTAACTTTCCTTAATCATTTACTATATGGCCCATAGGGAAGGCAAAGTGTTGTGAAGCCAAAATAATATACCTTGATGCAACATTTTTAAAAAGTTAACCTGTGCAGGTAACTTCTACTTTTTGATGCAATGTCCTATCATCCCAGTCAAGATTTATGATGCAGACAGGTCTGATATGACTGTCATCCAAGCAGAGGGTCATGACTTAAAATCTACACTCATAGTTGTACAACAATATAAATGAACTTACTGCCACAGAATTAAAAATAGTTAAAATACTTAAAAAACTAAAAAGTACTTAAAATAGTTTAAAAAGTAAATTTTGTTACACGCATATATATATATATATATAACCACAAAAAAAACTATACTCATGTAAAACAGAAAAATTGTACTGCTTTAAAATGAACATAAATGGAGTACACAAATTAAATATACTGCTGGTTTCAATATACTAGAAAACATGCCAACATAAAAAATATAATTTTAATGTGTCAAATTTGCTTTGTTCATAATTCATGTTACTATAATAAATACTAAATATTTAAGTATCGATTTTGCTTGTTACCTTGAATTCCTCCATCCTGCCTGCCTGTTAAATACTTAAGGTTGAAAAGATACCCAGAACAAGGGTACATCCTGCCCTGAGGGGGAGATCATCCTGATTTGGGTGGGAGAGAGAATATGATCCCCTAGATTGTCTAGAAAAGGTTTAGCTCGTCTATTAAATAGCAATATGGCCAGAGCCATGCCTGTAATCCCAGCATTTTGGGAGGTCAAGATGGGAAGATACTTGAGCCCAAAAGTTTGAGACCAGCCAGGGCAACAAGGTGAGATCCTGTCTCTACAATAAATTTAAAAATTAGCTGGGCATGGTGGCACCTGCCTGTACTCCCAGCTACTCAGGAGGATGAGGCAGGAGGACTGTCTGGGTCCAGGAGGCTAAGGCTGCAGTGAGCCATGATTGCACACCACTGAGCTCCAACCTGGGTGACAAAGTAAGACCAAGTCTCCGGGAAAAAAGAAAAAAAAAAAAAAAAAAAAAAAAAAAAGGATAAATAGCAAAATATGAAGTTAAGAAATCTTAAAAATCTGGTGACTATTAAGGTAAGTGAATATGAGATCTTTTTTTCCTAAAATAATAATTGAAGCAGCCACATGTTTACAAAATTCACTAATAATTTAATGGATATGCAAAGTATTTGATCCTCTTGTTGATCTTTTATTAAGAGGCCAATCCACCAGAAGGCATCAAGGACAGGAATAATAGGGTAGGTGAAGGCAGGGAGGAAAAGGGAAGGATAAGAAGGTGGGAGGATGGGTAGGTGGTAATGCAGAAGGGGTGTGTGTGTGTGTGTGTGTGTGTGTGTGGTGGGAAGTGGTTATAAGAGCAATGACAATCCTTGGCCTTAGTGATAGCAGACACACTTACTAGATGCCTATATGAAATAAGTAGATCAGTCTGTCTGTCGATCCATCCATCCATCCATCCATCCATCCATCCAAGCATCCCTAAGACTTCCATAATAAACTCATTTTTGCATGACTGCCTTGTTATTTTCGTAGTCTCTGGATATGTGAGGTTGAACTGTTCACCTAAAGCATGAGTGAATAAAGGTATATCAAATGAGACAAACATATTAAAAGACAGATGAAATGAAATAGATATATTTAAAGCCATATCAAATGAGTTAATAACAGAGAAATAGCTGCTCTGCCTCTCTGTAGAACTACACTGGTGGATGAGGGGAATGTAGTAATGTGATTAGATGTTCAAATGAAGGAAAGTAACCATAACTGAGATACAGGGAAGGATCAGCACTAGGAGGCAGCATGACCTGATCAAATGAATACTCAATTAGGTGTTAGAAAACCCAAGTTCTATTCCTCCGTTTACATCTAAGTGACAGCATAATGTTGGCCTTGTCACCTCACTTAACCTAACTTTCCTCACACATGTAACGTTAGAGACAACAAATGATTGATAGAGTTTCTACTACTTCCAGCTTCCCACAATGCTTTGGGCTTATTAACTGTGGCTGGAGCTAGAGGATATCTAGTCTGAAAGACCCCTCTGGAGTGGTAAAGATTGAGAAGGGGTTTAAAAGTTACAACCAGGACAAGCAATAGTGTATGTTTGCTTTGAAAGAGAGGACACTGGTCTGCAATTGTCAACTCATAAAGTGGCCTCACTGAAAAAGAAAGTAAAAACTGGTCATAGCAAGGAAAGGTCATCAAGCCAAGCACATAAAAGAATTACTAATTTTTGGCAGGGCGCGGTGGCTCACGCCTGTAATCCCAGCACTTTGGGAGGCCGAGGTGGGCAGATCACGAGGTCAAGAGATCGAGACCATCCAGGCCAACATGGTGAAACCCCGTCTCTACTAAAAATACAAAAATTAGCCAGGCGTTGTGGCACGTGCCTGTGGTCCCAGCTACTCGGGAAGCTCAGGCGGAAGAATCGCTTGAACCCAGGAGGCGGAGGTTGTAATGAGCTGAGATTGCGCCACTGCACTCTAGCCTGGCGACAGAGCAAGACTCTGTCTCAAAAAAAAAAAAAAAATCACTAATTTTTAACATTGATTTATGTTTATAAATAAATAGGACTACAGGATGCGTCACCATGCTGCTTGCTATGGGCACTCACTCTGTCTCATATATATGCAAAAATGTATGTGTGTGGTTTGTTTTTTTTTTTTTTTTTGAGATGGGGTCTCACTCTGTAATTTAGCTGAGTGCAGTGATATAGTCATAGCTCACTGCAACCCACCTTAGCCTCCTGAGTAGCTGGGGCTACAGGCACGTGCCACCACACCAAGCTAATTTTTAATTTTTTTTTGTGGAGACAGAGTCTCACAGTGTTGCCTAGGCTGGTCTCAAACTCCTGGACACAAGTGACTGTCCCACTTCAGCCTCCCAAAGTGCTGGATTACAGGCATGAGCCACTGTACCTGGCAGGAAGTACTCATTTTAACTGAAGATAAAAGGTATTAGGACCATGGAAGGCTCCTAACACTAGCTTACCCCTTAAGCACCGGGGTTCAGTCTTGGCCCTGTACCTTCTCTATTCAAGCATATGCTGTGCTCAGGTGACATCCTGAGCATTATGCTTAAGGTTTCATCTACCACCTCTGTGTACATTATATATGGTGAGCCCAGCTCCTTAAACCCAAGCTGCAGAGTTATCTTCCCAACATCTTCCTATTTGTGTGTTACACACACAACTATTTGAGTGTGTAAGCAGCTCAAATAGCATGTCCCAGACTGCATCTACCATGTCCTCTGGCACCTAGATACCATACCTGCTCTTCCTGGATCCCTGAATCTCAGGTTGATAGCAACGTCAAGAGCTAAGGCATTGGTTTCTATGGTTTGAATGTTTGTGTCCCTTTCAGAGTTCATGCTGAAGCTTAATCCCCAGTGCAACAATATTAAGAAATGGATCCTTTAGGAGGTGATTAGGCTATGAGGGCTCTGCCCCCAAGGATGCGATATAGTGCTTTATAAAAGGGCTTGAAGGGGTAGGTTCTCTCCTTCTATCCCTTTTGCTCTTCTACTCCTACACCATGTTCAAGGTCCAGAAACCAAATCTATAGTGCCTTGATCTTGGACTTTCCAGCCTCCAGAATTGTGAGAAATACACTTAGGTTATTTATAAATTACCCAGTTTTAGGTATTTTATTACACCATCACAAACAGACTAAGGCAGGCACCTAACCCATAAACTTTCTCTTCCTCTATTCCCTCAAATCCAATGGTCTCTTAAACTAGCCCCTTCTACAATCCTGCTACCACTGTCTTGGGTGGAGCCTGTGTCATCTTTGGGCAGGAGGACTCTGAAATTGCCTCCTATCTTGCCCTTCTTAGTCCCATTTCCATACTGTAGCCAGAGAGCTCTTTCTAAAACATGTCACCTCTTGACTTGTTGCTTTGTTATTATAAAGACAAAACAATGTCTCAGGGAGGGTTGGGGAGGCTTGGCAAGGGGAAGGAATGATTTCCAGCTTCTCTTCCTTTCTGTTTTATTGGCTCTTGCTGTTTCCTTCCCAGGAGTGCTAAGTTTGACGCCCAAAAGCAAGGCAGATTGGATTATGAAGTGTGTGATCACAGTGATCACTGATCATTTGAGAACACAGCAAACAGGACTACAGAATGCTTCACCCTGTGGCTCGCTGTGGGCACTCACTCAGCCTCGCAGTTGGCTGTGGCCACCTCTCGCTGTATCATAGTACTGCCTGTCTCATGGATTCCAATCAGTTTGGAACCCCGCTGTGAGGGCAAGGGATTTTTTAAAGCTTCTGATTTTATTTCTATCTATACTTCACTGGTGTCTATGCTCACAGATACTGGGCATTTTTACAGAAGTTTTCTTGACTAACTGGTCAGCAGCAGTCACTGCTGAGAGCGTCAACCCTGCACTTGTTAGAGCAGTTGTTCGACTTGCTGATCTGTTACTGTGTAAATGTTCTAGAGCTGTTTTAGTAAGTGCAAATTTCCTAATTTCAATGTTCTCCAAGCTCTAGCAGGGGAACAGATGACATAAAAACACACAAATAAAAATTTTCTAATTAGAAAATTTTTATTTATGTGTGTGCTGCTGACTGAGTACAGTCTCATTTTGCTTCTCCACTCCTTGCACTAGCGAAAGTGAGAGGTAAGTGATGGTTTTCCACGGCAGCAGTATAGAAAATGAACACTGGACTGAGTCCCAGGCCTGCCTCCAGCATCATCTGCATGAGCTTAAATCACCCACCCAATACAGGCCTCCATCTCCTCAGCTTTAAAATACAGACAATCGTACTGGCTCAAGAATTGATGTTAGTGGTAAAATATGGTAGAAGAACTCTGAAATCATTACAGTAGCAAATAAATGCAAAAGAGAACTCTTATAAAGAAAGCTAATTCTTTTACTAGCAAAGTGATTTAAAAAGAGGATGCTTTTGGCCTTGGGACAGTATCTTTGATTGAAACAAAACAACCCAGGAAGTGATCTTTATTTACACCACTGTGGTTCCAAGGAAACAAAATAGCAAGTGTTACAAAGACACTGACATTCCATCACATTTAGGTCCTATCGTGAAGTCAAAAAGAGCTCTTCAAAAGCATTGAGGCCCAGGAGTCCAGAAGAACTATGTGGCCGAAACACAGAATGTCAGTCATTTGTTTCACTGTGACAAAACAACAACCTCAGTAGAAAATTCTTCTTCAAATCTACCTTGTAACAATGGACTGATTATGGATCACTTAAGGTCTGTCAACTGGGAATTTGGAAAAAGACAAAAAGAGAACACGCACAATCTCTGGTTCACAGTGCCAATGGAATGCACATGCCTAACTGCCCAACCCGGAGAACGCCTTTTAAAAGACTCCAGTCAGCCCACACTGCATATCTGTTCCAGCTCCTGTTTTCCAGGGAAGAAGGTGTAGGGAATGAAGCATTGGGCAAGAGCATTAAGAAAGAAACCAGTCTGTTTTTGAAGGAGCAAGATCTTACGTCACTTATGATTCAGGTAAAATGTCCATTTTTACCTTGCTGTTAAATTAATGCTTCATATATTTTTAACTTGGTTGGTTAATGGCTCCTAGTAGTCAAAATCACTGGTTGCCATTTGTTCCTCAGCTGGAGAGGGAAAATGTCTGGTTTACATTCTGCCCTTATCCTTACGAGACTGTCCTTACTTCAGACTCAATCACAAGTCCCAGAAATCCAGGCTAACTGTGCTTCTGTTTGACTTGACTATAAATTTGGGGGTTCCCATAACCTTCTCTTCAAATTTCATAATTTACAAGAATAACTCATAGAACTCAGGAAAGCACTTTACTCACCATTATTGATTTATTATAAAGGATACAACTCAGGAACAGTCAAATGGAAGAGATGCAAAAGGCAAGGTATTTGAGGCCAGGGGGAGGATGAAGCTTCTCTGCTCTTTCCAACCTCACTATGCTCCCAGCACTTTGATGTGTTCAGCAACCTGGAAGCTACCTGAACCCCATTGTTTAGGGGTTATATGAAAGTTTCATTATGTAGGAATCAGTGATTAAATAACATTGGCCATTAGTGATTGAAAATCTCCACTTCCTCTCCCCTCTCCAGAGGTTGATGACGAGAATAAAGGTCCCAATGCTGGAATCACATGGTTGGATCCTCTGGTGACCAGGCCCCACATCCTGAAGCTATCCAGGTACCTACAATGAGTTACCTCATTAGAACAAACATAGGTATGGTTGATAGGAGCTCACTATGAATAACAAAGTACACTCTTATAAGGAATTCCAAGGGTCTTAGGAGCTCTGTGATGTGACATGGGGGCAAAGGCTAAATATGAATTTATTTTACACATAATATGATGCTGTATAAAAAAAGTCTCATAGGAGAGCTAATTCTTAGTCCAAATGGCTGCTACAATTTGAAACAGTGCCAGATAGTTCACTTAAAAGGTCAAGCTCACCTCCAAGGCCAAAACAAGGCAGTCACTTAAGTCATTGATGCTCTGAGTCAATGACTAATTAAGTTATTTCCTAAGGGACGCCTTCTTAACACAATGACAGGTCACTTCACAACATGCTCCTGTAGTTCTCTATCCCTTCCATTCATAACATTTATCACACACCTATAAGTAATTGTTTGATTAAAGATTTATTTCTCTCAGACGTCTGGTCTACATGTATCATGCTTATCATTGTATCCCAGGACTTAGCATGTAGAAGCTGCTATTAAATATTAATTGAACAGATACAACAGTTTTAATTAGACCTCCTTGCTTAGAAACAAAAACTGCAAAAATATCTTACAATCTTCATACCTTCCTACCTTCAATTTACATCCCAAATGGCTTCCTGAATCCTTTAGCAGAGACTAAAGACTCCATTTGAGCCCCATCAGCAGAGAAAACAAATTTAGCTCAGCCATGGCATTCAGAGTAAGCTGGGGCAGCTCTGGGCACTCTGAAGTGATAGAGTAAGGTTCTTCTAAAATAACCCCCAAATAACTAATAGTAATAATCACACAGAATGCCTACATTCCAAAAAAGATGACAGGTCACTTCTGCACATTAGGTTGGCTTCAGGCTTCATAACTAAGCAGGATTCTGCAGCTTCACTTGGTCTTAGCAAAGGGGAGAAACATGCGCTCTCTGGAAACGTTAGAGTTTCAATGGCTTTCCAGGAGACAAAAGGTATACTCCCCATTTGGAAGTTTGACACATGACTTCTAAGTCAGGGTAGGGCTTTGTCACAGCTAAGTGACAAAATCAGCTGCACAACACACAGAGTCTCTAGTCAGCGACCTAAGTTCCACCATTGTACACACCAGATGAACCTATGGGTATTTCTTAGCAACCAAATTTGAAAGACAAAAAGATTGTGCCAAGAAAGCTGAGAGTATGTTTTTTTCTGTCTACATTTTTTTCTCTCACCCACATACAAGAAATAATATTTACCTATTTATATTTGACAATACCATCTGTTTTTATTGTGTGGAGAGTCTTATCCATGTAAGGAAGGCAACAACTTAGTCACTGTCAGCTGAAGAGACGTAGAAACGAAGAGGGCCTTATGTAACACCAACTTGTGTCATTGGCCACCAAGAGAAGGTGGTTACATCTCACACATGCTCTGACGCTAGGTGTACTTGACAATCATGATGAGGCTTCTGCTGGGTGCAAAGAACTGGCCAAGACGATGAAGGCAGTAGAAAGGTGTCACACTCAGAGCTAAATCTCAAAAGGAGCTTATGCATTGGTAAAAGAAGGCACAAGCACAAGACAAGACAAAATAAATGAATTATAGAGTTACATCTTAAGGCAATATATGCTAGAAGAACAACAGTCACTGCACAGGGCTTACAAGTTGGACCAAGAAAGATGCATAAGATTTGTATAGTTAGGGAATGACAGGGTAAGGGGTAAAGGGGGTGGTTAACAACAGGGCACATAATATTTTATGTGGAAGAATGGAACAAATAAGGCAAAAGAAAGCCAAGGTGAATTTAATGAATTAGTGAGCAGATGCATTGATGGGGTGGAATTTATGAGACAGAAATAATGGAGAGGAGGGCGGAAAGGTGATTAAGATCAAATGCTAAGTGAGTCTCAAATGCCACACTAAAAAATTTTCAAGATATAGCTCAGGCCCAGAATATAACAGGTACCTCAGAAATTATTGCTTTAGAGGTAAAAATATCACTTTTAGAATATTCAAATATTTTTACAAGCAGAGAGCAATTTAGGCTTGATATAAGTAGTATGAAGTGACTGGTGCTATCTGAGCAAGGGAATAATAGAAAAATACATTTAGGGACATAGTATTATACATCAGGAAAATGAATTTGAAAGCATCAGAAAGAATTCATTGGAAAGTGTTTGAGATTGACAGCAGGAAGCGTAATTTTATATTAGGGTATATATCTGGGTACCTTGA